TTTTGCGGCGGAGAGGTGGGAGAATAATGCAGTACAGTAAAAAAAAATAACTAAAAATTTGCCCTCTACGACATCCAATCTAAGTTTTAGTGAGATAGCCTTGTTACCTGATAATTCTTTGCATATTATGGCTTATTAGAATTTGTAGCTGATTGATTCTGTTTACACTTTTCGATATCCTTTCACTCATTCATTGGGAAAATAAAAGCATGTTGCATTTTGTCAGGGTAAGGGTTAGGGGGTAGGGTTGGTCACATGAGCAGTGGCTCACATGAGTAGGTCACAGAGTAGCCAAAGAGAAGGTTGAAAACCTACAAATAGATAGGAGAAATATTAATTACAGATCACAATGAGTTCATTTTAACTTTAACTAATTAATAAAGTGATGATAAGCTATTTTAGTGTAGAGGTTGATAAAATGTATTTTTTTATTTGATTATTTTCAATGTTGAATTACACTAAAACTGAAATTTATTCATTTCAACCCACATATTATTTATTTAGTACTCTATGATGTGTTTTTTGTTTTTTCATCTACAGATGAGGAGAAGGTTATCTGTACCACCTTTTCAGATCAATATTCCTCTGCAGATGAATCCTCATGAGTTAAAAATTAGGAAAAATAAATCAGGATATACATCTTAAGAAAATTAAATACATATAAAGTACTTTTGTTGTTTGGAAAACCTTTTTTTTATTTTAAAAATTGCTCTCAATTTTAGAAAAATAGCAGAAGGTTAAATAAAGTTTCTCAGAATTTCTGCTGACTGTACCTTAACTTTAGATTTTAATATTTTGAACATCTTTTCCAACTAAGTAAAAATCTCCACAAATTTTAAAAAGTTGTACTAAAATCTTATGTAAATGCTGTATGCTTCTGAATTCCACATTCCTTTGCCTTGTTTCGTTTCCCCTTTCCGACTCCTACCCGATTCCTCAAGGTTAAGAAGTGGAGCTGAAAAAAAGGGCCTCGGCTGTAAATTATTCAGGTGCAGTACATGACTGGTTAAACGGCGATGGGTAAACAGGAGTCTGAGTCATCCAGCCAGCTTCCAATCCTCCTGCTCCCGCTGCAGAGCTCAGAGAACGCACTGAATGACTTCAGCATTTGTTTTCCCTTGCTAATTTCTCCGCCGTATTCACAGGGGAAATCAGCAGGAGCCAACAAATGCTTCTCCGTATCAAATCAGCTGAGCACAGGTGCTGAGACTGTTCTTTGTTCGGCAAATTAATTTCGACGCATTGATGCTGATTTGCAAATGCATCTGAACGCTGTCATGCTACAGTTTGTTTACATGGTTCACGGCTGGGTTATTCTTGCTCTGCATTCATCTAAAGCAGCGATGCAGCTTCTATTAAAATTGTCAGCTGCTTTTGGAATGTAGGGATGACTAAAAAGATTTCCATCTGCAAGAAACGAAAACCAACGTCTACTTCAGGAGTCTAAACAAACAGCAGCAGGAAAACAGGAAAAGCCAACTGGGTTCCTTTTGTCATTTCTAAAAGGTTTAGAAAACAAAATAAGAAAAACAATATTTCTATTTTCAGACTTTGTCAGTTTCTCCAGTTGTTTCAGGTTTGATGAAAAGTACTGCCTAGGGGAAAAAAATGGCTGCTAGGAAGTGTATAAAGTACAATTATAATGTGGTTTTCACAAATGTTTATAAGCTTAAGTCTGAGTAATTCATAACAGAGTAATATTTTAGTCCCTCTGACAGAATAATATTGAAACCTGAGGTGCATTTAAGGCCCGCGCTGGTGAGAAGAAGGATGTTTTTGTGCTTTATTCCTCTGCGTGTCTCACTTTGGATGAATTCTCGTCCTCTGGGTCTGCTGGTGTTAATGTAACAGGCCCTCAGGCGGCCTGATCAAAATCTTTTAGCTACAAAATCGTGTTGTGTGTGTGATGACCCCTGAAAATTGCTGACCAGCAGATCAGTGATGCGTTAAAACTGTGGGCACTGGATGCTATAAACACATCAGACCTCTAGGACAATGGCATCTTCTTTTTTTCTTCTTCTTCTTCTTTTCGTCTCTCTAGCTCTGGCTTCCTCACCTCACCGGTCATGCCCTCTCACTGTTTCCCGCTTTCTCATTTAATTTCACATTTTCTGCATCTCAATGAATCCAACAAGTCTGATCTTTTTTTTTTTTTTTTTTTGAGGGAAATGGTTGGAAAGCAAACAGAAGGTGACAGAATGTAAATGAGACAGTTCATCTGTTTGATCTGTATGTTTGTTCAGCTGAACTCTCAGCACCAAGAAAGCTTTTTACCTGTACAGAGCTTGAAACAGGTCCTTTGAGCTGACTCCAAAAGCCTTTTCATACTGATTTCTTCCCTCTCTGAGAAAATGCAAAGCAAAACAAAATGTAAATCAATAACAGGCAGCCAAAAAAAAAGACATTTGTATCATCTGTCATGGTATGTATGTATTTATTTATTTATTTATTTATTTATTTATTTATTTATTTATTTATTTATTTATTTATTTTTAATCTTTTTTCCACTCTCACTGGTCAGCCACAGTGAGAGAGCTGCTGGCTGCTGGCTCCCAGAACATCAAAAGACAGAGTTCAAACAGGAGAAGGTGACTCAAGTCTGCACACTGTACGCTGCCAGCTGAACCTGCATCTCTCACAGCTCATCACTGCCCACCTGTGGCTGACTTCATGACATCCACATTGATAAAATGTTCAGTTTTATAAGACTGTAGCCTTTATTTTTGTTCACAAAAGCACTTCAGAGCATTTTCAAAATGTCTCATTTTCACCAACCTGAAATCTCAATGTGTTGAATAATGATTTTATTGGATTGACAACACGAAGCAATGTGCAATGAAGTGAGGTGGAATAAAAAAGGATAGATGGTGTTTATTTAAAACATGAAGAGGGTGGATTTAGGTCTGGACTTTCATTTATCCTAAGTCTCTTCCTTCATGCTTCTGCCACAGCTTGTGGCAAACCTGACTTTTAACCATAGCATTCTTCTGGCAGCTGTCCACCAAGACCAGATTTCTATCGTGTGCTGCTATTACGTGCAGCATTTTTAAAATATCGCCTCACATTGCATTATTTAGCTGAAGAAACCGGAGGACTAGAGCGAAGTTTCTCTTTGTTTCGGTCCCTGTCCTGATTATTAATTTAGGAAGATTGCTGTATATTTACCTGCAGTGGTTGAAACTTAACTGCTAATAAAACTGGTTTTAGTTTTTGAGTCAAACTATTAAAAGTTCTTGTTGTTTTCTGAGTTCTGTTCGGTTCTTGTTTCTCCTACAGTCACAGCCCCAGCCCTCTAATTCTCCCCATACCAAAGCTTACCTCCATAAAAACTCGTTCTTACTCCTAACCCAACGCGAGCTGACATTTATGAGGAGTCCCAAAAGTGCAGCATCTAAAGGCCTGGTATAATTTTTCATATTGGACAGCACATTGCCAGATTATTCATTCTCTGGGAACGTTTATAAATTAGGTAACTGTGACATCAACTCCTGGAAATAGATTTGGAAGTAGCCTGATGGAAATCCAGTGAAACAAAACCAGAGCGTCCTGCGCACTGACCATAACACTGAGGAGTTCCTGACCTGATATGATTTTTTTTCTTGTTAGACTTAATGCAAAGCGTAGTTGACATCTTGACTTTTGAGTGCTTCAATGCAATTTTGACAGGCAATGCTCTGCTGCACATTAAATATTTACTTGTTGGGGGGAGGGGGGGGGGGAATAAAACATCCAAGCTGCTCATATAAAAGCAACTGCTGCTCTGTTTACTGACCTAACAGCATCTGTGAGATAATGCCAGCAGAGGTAGATGGTCCTGGAGCTGTACTGGATGGACTGGCAGAGGGACAAAGGACTGGAACGTGTGAGGAAGACTCTGGACTGTTCTGTGTTACTATAAAAAACTGAATAGGAAGGAGAAACATGGAAAAGAATGAACTAATAAAAGACTGCAGGTCAATATTTTGTCCTTTCATTTTGTGTTGCAGACAGACACATGACATAAAATGGAAGTGGATGTAGTTGAGGCAGTTAATAATAAATGTCAAATAGACAAAATAAAAACAAGTTAAAAGTACCTCTGTACTCTAATGCAGTCTGTGTGGAAGATATAAGAGAATAAAGTCATAATAAGTTAAAGGTTTTCCAGAGGCCATGAAGGGGGCACATCAAATAAGATTTTTGGTATGCATGAAAATTCTAAATGTGGTATAAAAATAACACTAGAATTAATTCTGAACATTTCCATCCACTTCACAAAAGGTTGCCAAAGCAATATTACAAAGTTTGTGATTGTAATATCACAGAATGTGTAAAAGCGTATGATTACTTCTGCCCATTTATTGTAAATCAACATCAAGCATACACTCAAATGCAAAACCCAAATTTATAGTGAAATACTCGGAACTAGAACTCACTATGAGTCATTGTTTAGTGTCTCCTGACCTTGCCCGTTGTCCCAGTGTGTGTTGAGAAGCTGCAGGCCTGCGCAGGCAGCCAGCAGCCGCTGCGTCCCGTCCAGACTGGCTCCCACCGCCTGACTGATCTCCTCTGCTGACAGCGGACGCTCTGCAGCCAGCAACACATCAAACACGCCCAGTTCGCAGGATGTGAACACCGTCTAGGTCAGAGAGGAGAAACGGCCAAAGACGATGGTGTAATTCATCAATTTCATTTATATCAGGAGAAATAAGGGGACATTGCTAGCTGTATGTGACTTTCTGAAATGTGTTGACAATCTTACATTGTTGACAATTGTGCAAGTTTGCTGTTCAACCATTGTGGAGGTGAAAAGGTCAGCTATTGTCATGTGATTGCTTAAAATCCGAGCACACCAAATTTGTGAGGTCATGCATGTGTAAAACATTTTCACATTCTTTTTTCTTCCACTTCACAGGTAAATTGTACTGTTTTACACGGAGTCCTCATATAATACCAGGAAGTTCCATTTGTATTGTAACAAAAAAGGAAAAACTTCAAGTGGCATAAAAAATATTTCAGAGCAACATGCATTTAAGATAGTGAGCATTAGTGACAAAATAAATATGAAATTAAAACCCATTGTGTTCAATCCGTAGTACAAGTAACATAGATACATTACAGCTTAAGTTTTCAAGTAAGCCCACATAATAGTGAGTGTGCACATGCATTGAACTGAAACAAAGAAAATTCTATCTAAAAGTTGCAACACGGCTGTTACCTTGGAGATAAGAAAGCCTTCCATGTACTCCAGTATTTTTCTAGGGTACACATCTGTAGCTGGTGTAGTTGGTGCCCCTTTGGTGGGACCTGCATCTGGAAGCTCAGCCATCCCCCCCAGGTAGACGGAGTGCTTTGTGTCTCTGCAGGTGAGCTGATCTCCACTGTTCAGTCAGCTTGCTAGATGTTTATGCTAGTAGATGACAGAAGCGGACTGAAAGCAAACAAAGTGCCCACCCTGCAGCAGCAGCAGCAGTAGTGAGAGTAGCAGTGGGCTAAGCTGATTACAGCCAGATAACCCAGATTAGATCATGGGCTCAGTCTGGTAGACAAAGAAACAACTCTGTGAAAACACTGCTCTCTTGTTCATAATCACTCACCCACTGTAGTCACATACCAAAGCCACTTTTTACTGAGTTTACATAACCCCAAGTGAGACCAGGACGGTGGTCTCACCATGTCTTTAAAAAATATATATGCTCCCCTGAATATGTTTAATAGCAATCCTGCCAAATTATACTCCCTGACAAATGTTCTATGAATTATTAAGCAAGGCATCCCACTGAGAGTGATGATTAGAGAAGCAGTCAAGAATCCTGTTTTAATTTGGCCACAGCTGCGATTGGAGAATCTGCTCACTGGATGATTATTAGCTGTGGATTTCATAATAAATATATATATATATATATATATATATATATATATATATATATATATATATATATATATATATATATATATGTAAAATTATTACTTTTTATTTTTTTCACGAAAGACAGCCAAGAAATACATAAGAAATCTTATTTGGAACTGTAGGAAAAAAGGTGCTCTGGTAAGGTGAGAACAGACCAGGCCTTTTTGGCCTACATGTAACATTATGTGTGGTCAAATAATTTTTCTTGTGCATTTTCTGCTATTCAGTAGACATGCAATATTTTAATACAAATTTAGTAAATGCAAGTGCCCAAGTCTTTGGATGTTTTGGCCCACTTATGTTAAAATGAAAGCAAATAACACAGCTGATAAAAAAACTGTTGTGTCTGGCATTGTCCATTTAAAAAGGTATAGATTTTTTTAAAATCCTGAACTAACAAGCCTCTATCTGTATCAGTTCAATTTGCTGGAGAGTCAAATTTGTACCAAACAGAAACTGCAGCAAAAAAAAAAAAAATAGTTGTGCAAATTAAAGATGGGGGCTGAATTAAAGAACACACCACACTTTTTCCAAGTCATTTCTACTAAAAATACATGAATATTTTTCCTTCTACATCACAACTACTTTATGGTTACATAGTTGTTCAAAATGTGAAGGGTACCCAAAATGACACTTGTTTTTTTGTTTTTTTTTTACTTTCCCCATTTACCTCCCACTAAAGAAAACAACTTTCATTAAAGTTTGTCAAATTCAAATCTTTATTATCACCACTTCCACTGTGTGCAAGACATGTTCAGGGTGAGCCACAAGCAGATACAGAACTCTCTTTTCCATGACAAGCAATGTCAACAAAACAAACATCTAGTTTCTTCAAGTTCAGCTGAAAGACCAGTTAAGAAATATATCCAACACAATGTTTATAGGTCAAAGAAAGATTGAAATCACTTTTCGGTCTGCATTTGTTCATTTTAAACTTCAGAAGGCAGCCACTCATTTTAATCATCTGTTGCTCTTACAGTGGATTTATCCCCTGTAAAACTGACAAACTTGTTTTAATTTGGACAAGAACCAAAGTCGGCTGAATGAGCCTTTTCTAAAAAAAAAAAAAATCACATATCTTGTAATAATAAAAGATGCAGAATCTTTCTCTCAAGTGTGACATTCATTCTAACAGCAGTATGCATTAGTTTTGTTTGTTTTAGGCTCACACCATTAAGACAACGGTCATGCTCTACTTTAACACAAAAGCTGATGTCGGACACATTTTAAAATATAACTTGCCATTTCAGAAACATTTGTTTGCAGCAGAGCAGAAGGAAACGTATAATCCAGCGGTCCACACACCTGAAGGAGGAAAAACATGTAGAGGAGCCAACTGTATAAACTGATTTAAATAAGAATTTGAAACCGAGTCTTATGAATCCATTGGTTTATTTTCCACAGTTGAGCAATAAGGAAAAAAGAAACACTTGTGAAATTAAATAAAGTGATTTGAAGACCAGTTTCAGTCAAAAAAAAAAAAAAAAAAGAACCTTGTATATAATTTATGTCACCGTTAGACCAGATTATAATACTCTGCTAGGTTTTCTTAGTTGAAAATTTTGTCAAGAAATCTCAAACCAACAAAACAAACAACACACAAGTACAAAATTAAAAACGGTGAATCAACAACAAAGACTTATTTGAACAGCTGGTAACATTTTGGTGATGAAGTTTCAAGTTTTACCTATGAAATTAAACTATTTTCTGTACATATTCTAGGCTCTTGCGTTCCCTCTGAAGCTTGCTGAACTTCAGGCTCGTGCAGAGAAACGGGAGACGTGAGTGAAGCTGCTCCGCTGCGTTCAGTGTCCTCTGGAGTGGCTCCGCCCCCTGCTGTCGCTGTGCCTTCGGTATCGCCGGCTGTGGCGACTGTGGCTCCTGTAGTCCTTACTCCTTCGTCTGCCGTACCTGCGGTGACTACGCCCTTGGCTCCTCCCCCTGCTGTGGCTCCTCCCACTGCTGCTTAGGCTCCTCCCCCTGCTGGAGCTCCTGCTGCTACTGCGCCTCCTTCCCCGGTGACGGCCTTCGCTTGTCCTGTGACTCCTCCTTCGCCGGCTCGAGCTCCGCCTCTTCCTACTGGGACTTTGGGGATGCCTCCTTCCCCCTTGACTCTGCGAGCTCCTTTCACAGCCTCGCTCCCCGCTGCGCGCGCTTCGAACGAACTCTTCCTTCTTTTCATCCCTCCCTCGTCTCCCCTTTGATTGGTTTTTCTCCAGAAGTTCAGACTGCACGAATCTAGACACTTGTTTTTCTTTGCCTTCATCTGTCTTCACCCCATTGACCCGACCCAGGACCCCAAGCATCACATCGCTAAGATCTGGAGCCGCTGCTTCTGCCGGGGGGCCGGCCAGGTCGTGTGGATCTGCAGCCGCTGTGCTTTTCTTGATAAGGTTGCAAAGCAGCCTCTCCCTCAGCTCATTCTCCTTCCGCTGGAGCTCCAGCGCCCGCTGCTTCTCCACCTCCACCCGCCGCAGCTCCTGCTCCTGCCTTCGCCGACAGGCCTCCAGCTGCTGGAGACGGGCCAGCTCCTCCTTCTGACGCGCTTGCTCCAGCTTCTCCTGCTCTTTGCGTTCAGCCATCTCCTTCTCCTGCTGCTGCTGCTTCAGGATCTGGGATAAAATGAATCACAAACACAGTGAAATCAGAAACAGGAATGTGAAAGTTAATCATGTGTGAATATCTATGCAAGACGTAAAGCATCACCGAGCTATTGGCCAAAGTAAAATCCTGCAGATCTAATTGTACTGTGGAACTGCATCCTTAAAGATGAACCCAGATAATGCAGTAGGTCCGAATCGATTAATTAACCATGATAATTAATCATGGTTAATTATCAAAATTATCGTCAACTAACTTAGTAACCGATTAATCGTTAACTGGAGTTCCAAAAAGAAGACAATTTGATGAAAGAAATAAACAGAGCAGTAATTAAGTAATTCAATATGTTCTACCAAGAACATCTCAAGTGGCAGACTTGGCCTCACCTGGTTCACATTCTGTACAAAAAAACTGTTAAGTACCTTTTTCTACTCAGAAATTAATTAGTTCATCGAAAAAATTGTGAACAAATCAGCCACACACTGTACTGATGCTAAGTCGAGTAGAAACGGCTGAGCTTTTAACATGTTGATTTTAGAACTATTTTTTAGCCGCTGGCACATCATTGACTAAAAATGATCAAGCGTTCACTAAAGGATTGCTAGGTTATTATATCTCAGGCAATAAAATGTTTATTTTCTTGTATAAAAAAGAAATTGAATCATTTGTTTATTTGCATTTTTTATGTATTGCTAATATAAAAAAGCTTAAGCAGTTAGATAAAAAATCTGCAGAAGGTGCATCATCAAAATTGTACTAGATTCCTAGAATAATCGTTACTGCAGCCGTACAATACCGCAGTACATAATGTGCCCATTTATTACTCATTTATTACTTCTGAGCATTAAAGCATGAACTCTTTGTCCTTTCTGGGGTTAATTACAATGTTCCACACTTCAGCAGCTGCAGTGTAACCAGGTGGACAGTAATTGAGAGCTGTGCTGCGTTCATTTAGTACCTTGGCTCGGGCGAGCAGCTCAGCAATGAGCCGTATTGATTCCAGGTTTCGCTGAGCCAGCAGCAGCCTTCTCTCCTCCATGGCGATCTTCACCTGCAGCTTCTTCTGCTCCTGCTCCTGCTGCCTCTTCACCTTCTTCAGATTCCTCCGCTCCTCCTTCTCCCGCAGCTTCTGCTCTCGCTTCCGGATCCTCTCCTCTTTCTTCCTCTCCTTCTCCTCCTCTTCCATCTCCCTCTGTTTCCTGGACAGATGATCAAATGTCCATGTTTTCCACGGAAAAATCATCACAGCTGGAAGTATTTTTTTTAGCTGTGACTCAAAGGGAAATAAATACACTCATGAACAATAAGACTGCTCTTCATAATAAACGACTTAGAGAAAAAAAATGTTTCTGTAGTGCTGTCAAGGTCTAAAATTGTAAAACAATTTTTACCAGCACCTCTGAAGCAGAATAAATAATTTTGTGTTGTTTTTTTTTTTTTGAAGTTCTTATTCTTGATGAACTTCCTCCTTTATTTCTGTCATACCTCTCTTCCTCCTTCCGCCGTTCCTCCTCTTCTTTCTCCCTTCGTTTCTGCTCCTCCCTCTGTCTCTCCAGCTCCTTCAGCTTCAGCCTCTCCTGGTTTCTTCTCTTGATAGACACATCGCTCAGGTGCTTGCTGGTGTCAAATATAACCTAATTTTTTTTTAAAACCCAGAAAACAAGAAAGCTTCATCAACTAAATTTATTTTCCCAGCTGAAATGCAGCATGATATCTAAATGCATCTTGCCAAGTTAGTTTATGATGCTTTTAAATACTTTTACTCAATAATCTATAATCAGTAAGGAGATACTGTTGGACACAAAAGACTAATAAAGGGCTCTTCTGTTTTGTTCTCATCCTTCTTTAGACTATTCAGCTTTAGGTTATGGATTAGAAGACTTGCCTAATCTGATGTTCATTAACTGATGATGCAGCTTCACGTCTCATTGCCTTAAAAGGTCT